TTTTTTTTTTTTTGGGGGATTTGGACAATTTAGAAAATATCATATTTCAGTAATGTACAAACACCAGTTTATGTCCACAACCACTGGCCAAGCTTAGTAATCTTATTAGTCTCAAATGGCTGCTAATACCTTGATTTTACAATTAGTTTCTCCCCAGATATAACATTTAAGAATAGGCATCTTGTGGTAAGAACTCTTAATATCTACCTTCTTAGGAAATTTCGATTACAGTATTGACCATAGTCACCATGCTGTACATTAGGTCTCCAGAACTCATTCATCTTGCATAACTGAAACTTTGTACTCTTTGAGATCTTAAGTATTCCTAACACACACACACACACACACACACACACACACACACACAGCTAACTATGCGTGGTCATGGATATATTAACTAGCTTGAGTATGGTGATCAGTTCACAATGTATGCATATATCAAAACATCAAGCTGCACATCTTAAATATATACCATTCCATGGGGCGCCTGGGTGGCGCAGTCGGTTAAGCGTCCGACTTCAGCCAGGTCACGATCTCGCGGTCTGTGAGTTCGAGCCCCACATCGGGCTCTGGGCTGATGGCTCAGAGCCTGGAGCCTGTTTCGGATTCTGTGTCTCCCTCTCTCTCTGCCCCTCCCCCGTTCATGCTCTGTCTCTCTCTGTCCCAAAAATAAATAAACATTGAAAAAAAAAAATTTAAAAAAAAAAAAAAAAAAAAAATATACCATTCCTATGTGTCAACTATGCCTCAATGAAACTGAGAGGATATAAGAATAGCAATCTTGTCTTCATAATCTGTGTCTTCCCAGAACAGTATCTGGCACATACTAACTGATTAATTCTGTATTTGTTGAATTGAATTGAATTGGAATAATCCAGCTGACTAATGCTAAGATTAGCTGCTTGAGGCTGACAGCAGCAAGATAAGGTGGACGGGAACAAGAATATGTCCTCAAAGCCTGCCCTGGAGAGTCTCATCCCTGTACCGTACCTGCTGGTGACTGTGTATAGTTCGTCAATAATTACACATTATTTCTTCTGTGTCTCTTCCAGTGACACTTTTCTTTTCTATTCTGTTTTCACTCTCTTAGGCCAGACCTTTTCTATGTCGTAACTCTATTGTTACCATGCTTGTTAACTAACATCCAGGGGCCAGAATCTCTCCACCAAATCCTTTCTGTGCACAGGTACCATATTTATCTTCCTAAATTGCTGCACTGATTATGTCACTGCTGTGCCAAAGGATCTGGAAGCACTCACTGTGGCCTTCCAGACACAGCCCTGCTTCCTTCAGTTTCCCATTCAAAGCTCCTCCCACTGGGCTCTGCCTCCGTGGGCTTCTCTCCTATCACTCCTCTGGCATAAGCCTGTGGTCCAGGTGAATAGAGACCGATTCTATGTGGTCCCAAGGGACCAAGACTAAGTCATTATCCAGGCATTAAAGTCAAAAAAACATTCTATCATGTACCTATGCTAGGATTTAGCAAGTATCATTGGATCTTGTCTCAGTATAAGGAAGAACATTCTAACAGAGTGGCCCAGAGATGAAATGGGCTGCTACGATTACTTAAAAGAGAAGTCCCAAAAGAAATTCAAGAATTGGATGGTGGATGGGTCCAGATTATCTATACACTTCTTTCCGATGGTAAAATGTTATCATTTGATGTAGAGTTGCTCATATAGAACATGTATTTTCCTGGTTCGTGTTGCTCCCTCTACTTGGAAAGCCTTCCTCCCCTTCTTCATCTGTTCAATTCCTGCCCATATTTCAAGACTCAGACTAGAAGCCAACTCCTCAGGAAGTCTCTCTGATTGTTCCAGAGAATTGACTGTTGTGCACAAAGAACCTTTATTTTTCTCCCTCAAAAATTTTTTCATTTTGTAAATGTCTAAGTCTAGCTACTAGACTGTAGGCTCCTTGAAAGTCTTACCATTTCTTGCATTCACCTCCCACCTGTCTCCCAGAGAGGTGATCACTAAATACCTGGTGACAGGATGGCAAATAAATGAGCACGTGCATTCCTATGTATTCAATATTGAATTAGATGTAATACAAGAATCTGTCTAGCAGCAGGCACTGAGTGAACACCATTGACTGTGTGGTACAGTTGTACAACTCTCAGCATCTACACGCTGGTCCTTGTCCTTTTTACCTTGCAGGTGATCACTAACTTGGCAGGTTATCATCCACTTCCCAGGATTCTCGACTATCATTTCCGTTGTCAGGAAAGTGGCTGGGAACAGGTTGACGACATCAGTCCGATGCCCTCTGCTGACGAAGGTGTTACCATAAAAATAGATGGAATGGATGTCGATCTCATTCCCCATCCCGAATAGGTGCCAGGACACCGATTCACCAACACACATATCAGGCTCCGGGAAGTTTCCAAAGAGGTATCCATTGAGGGCTGAAACACAGAAGCACACTGGTGGGAGAGACTCCCCTGTAGAGGCGAGCAGGGCCAGAAACAATGGTAACACATGCGCCGGCACAGCTGAAGAGTTAGCACTGGTCATCGGTTGCAAGGTTTTTGTGCAGAAAAGCGCGGCTCCTTTCACATAGTCCCAGAAAGGAATGAAAGGTATTAGGTTTTTCAAGAGAAAAGCACTCAGCAAAAGTGGAGATGAGCACACGTGGAAACAGCCTTGGAGCTGCTATGTGAACACAGCACCCAGGTCAGGAGTAAACGGAGCGCTGCTCAGACTTTCAGGATGGCTCCGCCATCTCCTGCCGAGATCCTTCCTTTTCATACCTGACTTCCCTACAGGGCTCTGTTTCCTGAAACTCTGCCTTACTCATTTCACAGCTGTCAGGACCTGGCAGAAAAGCTGGCACCTAGTAGCTACTTAACTTGAGTAACCAAAGCTTGCAACAAGAAGGAAAAGAAAAGGAGCTGACTAGAAGGGACCTATAAGACTTGTTACTTTAACGGGGCGCCTGGGTGGCGCAGTCGGTTAAGCGTCCGACTTCAGCCAGGTCCGCGATCTCGCCGCCGGTCGGAGCGAGTGCCAGCTGTCGTCGTCTGGGTCACGATGGCTCGAGCCTGGAGCCTGTTTCCCGACATTCCCTGGTGTTCCTCTCTCTCTGCCCCTCCCCCGTTCATGCTCTGTCTCTCTCTGTCCCAAAAATAAAAAAAAAAAAAAAAAAAAAAACGTTGAAAAAAAATATAAAGTTTTGTTACTTTAAAATGAGGGAGAAAAGCCAGTGTTTTTACTAGGTCTTGCTGGGGTGACAATCTACTGGTTGACTACATGAAGTCCAAGATCCACTCTTTCAAATCATCTGAATGGCAGCAAGGACTTGACCAAGAGCGGAAGAAAACTTGATTCAGGGTTTTAAAGGGTCATAACATCACTTCTTCTTCTTCTTCTTCTTCTTCTTCTTCTTTTAGGAATTTTTTATTTTTTAAGGGTTTATTCATTTATTCTGAGAGAAAGAGAGTGAGGGAGAAAGTAGCGGGAGAATTTGAGAGAGAACCCCATGAACTGTGAGATCATGACCTGAGTCACAATCAAGAGTCAGACGCTCAACCGACTGAGCCACCCAGGCGTCCCTCACAACATCACTTCCTAAATTCAAACTGAGTTAAGAAGCAGCTGTTACTAAGATAATGATGATTAAGGCAGCACAATTGATTCTGAATAATTTTAGTAAATTTAAATAAATGTTTCAATAAATCTTATATTGGTTAAGCATTTTTTTGTTGTTTTTAAAAATTTTCTGTTTTCTATCATTGGGTCTCCTTTACCAGCTCCAAGAAGGATTGTTTGTTTACAAACACCTACTTCTGCACACAGGACGGATTTTATTTTAAATATAGTCTGTATTTGCTTATGTGGTTCATTCTCTTTTGTTGGACATTTTCATCTGAAAGAGTAAGAATTATGTGGACAGCTGAGTCGTAAACCATCACGGTTAGTAGTTTTCAGCAAGATTTGAGATCATCGCTACCATTTTGTAAGGAATAGGGGTACAAGTTGACTGGACACAGCAATGATTTGAATTTAAGTCTTTGTTTATTCCATCCTTCGTTTCTTTCGCTGCCTCCCTCCCTTCTCTCCATTACTTCTTCCTTCCTAAAATATTTGCCCAACATCCACATCACGCAAGGTGGCTGAAATACCACTAGGAAGAAAAGAGAGGGTGTCTGATGCAGTGGAAACAGTCAGAATAGGGACACTCACACTTCTGCACACTTTGGAATCAAACACAACCAAACTAAAATTTATTTGCTATGGGACTTCTCTCTCAGGTTCTGTCAGGCAACTCTGGCACTAATCACCACTTTGACCTCAGGCAAGTCATTGATGGTCCCTTGACCTCAGTTTCTTCATCTGTAAAATGGGGGAGGTCAGATGGTCTTCAGCTCCTTCCCTCTCTCCTATGATTTTATGACTACATTGATGCTGCCTTGGTTAGGATGACTCTGGGAGACAGACAAGCAAATATGGAGGAAATTTATCAATGAATGACATGGAGAGTTTGTTTACATTGAAGATGTTCTTTCTGTTCACTAGAACTCTCTGGGAAAACAGTAGAATGAGACTACTTAATAATCCTCAAGTCCTAAAATTCTGTATTAAGCCACTGCTCTGCAAAACAGAAATGGGTACGTGTTCTTTCTCAATGGACAGGGTAACTATAGAAATTCATTATTTTCAACAAATACAGGGTCTGGCACATCATGAATGCTCCATAGATGTTGACTGAAAGGATGTCTGGGAAACATAACAGATTCAGCAGTGTGTATTTAAACAGAGCATATAGCATAGTTCTTGAACTTGGCAGCCACTCAGAAAATGTTTACTGGATAAATGCAAAAGGTTTCAAACCACAGGATTGTTATATGATGATGATTCATTCTCCTTTCTCCCATCAGTATAAACCCATCCATCCTCTCTAGGCTCACCTCCTGATTCTTTCCTAATTAGAACATTAATCCTTCCATTTTCTATATCATAGCTTTGTCATACCCAATTTAGCTTATAACTATCGCTTTCTCCCTTCTCAGATTGTTTTAGGATCTGACATGTATTGTGTTTCATATCACTTTCTAATCACTCTTATCCCTGAGCTATAAATCCTAGAAAACCAGGTTAGACACTTCTGTGTTTTTGCATCCCTCATAGTATCAGATACACAAAAGGCATTTGGTACATATGTGACAACACGGGAAATACTCACCATGCATTTTGTTACTTCTTCGGAAAACAGCATCTTTTTTGTCAACTGAATCGGGGTCAGTGCAGAAATGTCTGATATTTTCATCAAGGTACCAGCTTTGGTTCTCATCCACCAGAGTAAACATTATAATGAACTCTCGGTCCACATCTGTCCTTGTTCCTGAATATTTATTCAGGATACCTATCGGGGACGTTTAAAAGAGTAGAGAAAAAAGTTCAAAGTGGATTAGATCAAGTTGAGTTTTGTTTCTTGCCAATGGTACCAGGTAAGTGTAAAGGTTCATCAAGATTTACATGTACAGGAGTAACCACAACATGAAAGCAGGCAAAGGATTTTAATAGAAATGACAGAGCTGAAGAGAAAAGTCATAAAACAGAAGTCTTCACAACCAGAGACTTGAAAATCTTGCTCCTAAAGGGAGTCAGCTTTACTGACAGCAATAGGGAACAAAATCACAAAATGATCAAGCAGTTGAAATAACAAAACAAAAGCCCCCATGGTCATTGGGCTACATTTTTTCACCTGCCTATGTGTGGTGTCAGGGTGGCCTGAATGGCTCTCAATAGGGAATGTCCCTGTTGTTTGAAAAAGAAAAGCATGCAAGTTTCAGAATGCTATGATGCTTGAAGTCTGCATTATTGCCCCTGCTGTGGCATCGGATTGACCTTCTATGTTAGAAGAATTTCCTGAATCCTACAGAAAGCTTGGAAGAAAAGGCACATTCCATACGCAGCAAGGCAGGTGGGCAAAACAAGACCTGAAATTTAGATACACTTTTCAACACCTCTGGGAATAGGCTTCTGTGTGTGTGTGTGTGTGTGTGTGTGTGTGTGTGTGTTGGAGGGGGCTCTCTTTACCTTCCTTGCACACTAGCAGTGGGCCAATTAACCCAGAGCAGATGTCCTTAGGAGCGTCGATGTGCGAATGGTACACCCAGGTCAGGCAGTTGGCATCCGCTGGAGCAGGGGCATATTCTTCTCTCACTGGCCAGACATAGGTGTAGTTTTTGCCAGGAGGAACCATATCATCATCCTTATTCCTTCCAGATGTTCCATCTGGGTATAGAGCTCCTTCCAAGAAAAGATAAAACGTACTTAAAATACAGAGATCACATGCTATAGTGGACGGGGCCGGAGCTTTGGAATCAAACACATATGAATTAAACTGTATTTCCTGTGGGATTGAGGCAAGTTACTTAAATTCTCAGTGCCTTGGTTTCCTATCAGGAAAGCTAGAATGGGGATATCGACCCCATAGGAATGTGAAAACTAGGTGACACAATGTACACAAAGCAACAAAACAAAACCAGACGCTCAATAAATGTTCATAAGGACCCCTTCTGATGGTCCTCTTGTACCAATCAGGAAGATTTGAATCCACTCCATTTAACATCACCGCAAGAAGGAAAGGAGAAAGGGCAGAAGAAATAATGAAATTCTTGGGCACTTATTACTGATTCAGCACTTGTTTGGGGTCTCATAAAAGATAGGAAGGAAGAGTAAGACATTCATCTTTCCTCCAGAGAGCCTACGGTTCTGTTTAGCAGACCAGAATAGGAATCGTTATCATATAGGACAACTGGAGAGTAAAATAGAGTGATGTGTTGAATGAAATTTTGGGCTCAGCTAGGTGGGGGTGGGGGTCTACCACAGAGCGGGTAGGGGCAAATGGGCACGGCATTCCCTTCCTCTGTTATATAAACTGAGATGGCACAAGATTTTTCAATGAAGGCAAGTCCACTGCTAAAACTAGTTTGATAACCACCTGGATAGCAGGTAGGGGCCTGGAAGGACGGGGAAGAACTGGACGGCACTGAGAAGAAGGCTGGAAGGTGAAGGGCCCAGAAGGACATGGGTGTGGACACACTCCAAGTTCATTCTTCATTCTTTCATTTGTTCACCAATTCATTCAACAAACTTGCAATCCTGAACTCGCTGGACTAGGTCAGTTTTCTAAAATGCATTCACATAAAGAGAAGGGCGGAATAGCCAGTGATTAAGTTCACAGCCATTGAAGCTAGACTGCCTGAAAACAAATCTCATCTCTCTCACTTCTTAGCTGTGATTTAGGCAATTTCCTTCTCTTCTATGAATCTTAGCTTCTTATTTGTAAGAGGATGATAATTCTCCTTATGGCATAGAGTTGTTGAGGCCTACATGACATATGATCTACAAAACATCTATCACAGCCCCTCATATATAGTAAGCGTTCAGTAAATATCAGCTATTATTTAGTCATAGCACTTGCCCATGTTTTTAATTATACATGGATAATATTGTGTCTGTAATGTTTGATAGATACTTGTCTCTCATGTTAGACTGCAATTTCCATGCAAACCAAGTTTATTCATGCTCAGAATTTTATATGCAAGATGCAGCTCAGTGCTTGGTATAGTGGGTGCTCAGTATCAAACGTCTGTTGAATGAAATAATGAATGAGTGTCATGAGTATACACCATACACCAAAGCCCTGTGAACAAAATGCATGGCTTGGAAGCTTCTGAATTTACTGAGGGTCAGTAGCTGGGGGAGGGTGGGAGGGTTGTGGACTTGTCTAGAAACTTCAACTGAGAGCACCCATTTTGCTTTGATTATATGATACAAATCAATATCAGTAGCAATTTTTCCAGAGATTCGTATATTCACAATTTATTTAACGTGCTTTCTTTTTGCTTATTATCACTGGGAGGTGTTGATGGCTATTATTGAAAGGAGGGGCTAGAGTCCCCAAGCAAATCCTTGGTGTCGGCACTCAAGACGAGGAAGATCATTTGGGATGCAAAATAAACCATGAATATAAAGTAAAAAGTGATTTGGGAGGGGGTAGCTTATTAAGTTGTTCTGAAGGTTATCCCCAGGAAGGGATTTTGATTTAGCAAAGGTTTTGAGCAGTGGTAACATTAACAATATAAGAGTATTTTTAAAACATTCATTTGGTTTTATGCATTTGAGACTGTGTGAGTTTTTAGAAATTATTATATACAAGTTTTCACCCATCAGATTTGAGAATATTGAGGACTGGTGAAGTTGTAGGAGTTAACAGGCCAGCTCATAAACAAATGGTGGAAGTGTAAATGTGCAATTTTTTTGGAGGACAACTTGCCAGTTCCCATAGAAAGAAAGAAAGAAGGAGAGAAAGAGAGACAGAGAGCAAGAGAAAGAAAGAAAGAAAGAAAGAAAGAAAGAGGAAGGAAGGAAGGAAGGAAGGAAGGAAGGAAGGAAGGAAGAAAAAGGAAGGAAGGAAGGAAGGAAGGAAGGAAGGAAGGAAGGAAGGAGGGAAGGAGGGAAGGAAGGAAGGAGGGAAGGAATATGAGTATAACCAGCAATTTACTTTTAGGAATTTACCCCTGAAATATCCTTGAAAATGTTTTTGAAAATACACTGGAATAGGGGTGCCTGGGTGGCTCTGATAATGTCATATATAGATAGATTTTTGATTTTATTAATATAGATTCACATTTAGAGTTAAATACACATTGATAAAAGATGTTTTTCAGATATTATTATAATTATGAGACTTATTATGGATCATTAGAAGATTCATTTTACCACATGACACTCCTCCCTTGCTCACGCTCTGTCTCTCTCTTAAAAATAAATGAACATTAAAAAAACAAATAAAACCAACTACTGGTGAAAGTCATCATCATCAATACTGGTTGTACACTGGAACTGAATATTCATTGGGGAATGTGCAGGTATCAACCCCAAACGGAAAGCAACCTAAGTAATCGTCAATACCAAACTGGTCCATTCACACAACGGAATATTGCACAAGTGCTAAAAGGAGGTCTTTCTATGTGTGATGATATGAGAAACCCTCCAAGATGAAGTGAAAAACAGGAAATACATAGCAGTCTGATAGTATAATCTCTTTTGTACAAATAAACACAAAACCACACACACATACACACACACACACATAACCACACACACACATATTATCACACACAAATATATATATATATATATATATATATAGAAAATTTTCTAAGATAAATTTATAAGACATTTTAATTTTTTTAATTAAAAAAATTTTTTTACATTTATTTATTTTTGAGAGACAGAGAGAGACATGAGCATAATACGTTGAAGTGCGGTGGGGGGCGGTGGGCAGAGAGAGACGAGACATGGAATCTAAAGCAGGCTCCAGGCTCTTGACAAGCACAGAGCCAATGTTGGCCTCCCCAAAAAAAAAAAAACTCACAAACCGTGAGATCATGACCTGAGCCCAAGTCAGACATTTAACCAACTGAGCCACCCAGGTGCCCCATAAGACATTTTTTAAAGCGATCCTTTTTCAGGTAAGAGACAAGTAGGAGGAATTTTTACTTTTCATACTTCTCTGCACTCTTAAAATTTTCTAACCATGTTCACATACTACTTTTTGTTTAATTTTTTATTTTGAACTCATTTTAGTGGATATGTAGGAAATCAGAATGTAAGATATTTTCCCCTTCTTTATTCTTCTCTGAATTAAAAAGATAAAAATAAAGTTTGTTTGCAAATAGTCCTGATACTTAACTATATTCATATGGAGATCAAGAAAGCACTAGTTAATTCTATTATTAAGTGAGATAATGCATGTAAGAACTCTAGCATAGGCATTGGCATATTAGTAATTGCTTAATCAATGTTAGTCCCACCTACCTACTTCTTCTGAGTTCATTCTCTACCTCTCCGCAGATGAATATCTTGGAAGCAACAAGTGTGTATTTACTCATTTTTACAGCCCCAGTATCCAGCACTGGGTCTAGTTCACAGTAAACACTAAGTTGAACTGAGCAGGGACTTCAAGACTACCAGGCTTGCAGGGCGCCTGGGTGGCTCAATCAGTTAAATGTCTGACTTTTGATTTTGGCTCAGGTTATGATTTCACAGTTCATGAGTTGGAGCTCCACATCAAGTTCCATGATGACAACAAAAAAGTCTGCTTGGGATCCTCTCTTTACCTCTCTCTCTCTCTGCTCTTCCGTCTTTCTCTCTCTCTCAAAAAAAATAATAAATAAACTTAAAGAAAAAAAAAAAAAGACTAGCAGGCGTGCAACTATAGCCAAGAGAAAAATTCATTAGAAGAGAGTGAGATCCTCTCCCCCAAAAGTAATCATAAAGTTGAAAGAAATGGAGAAAAATGACCATTTCAGTGCTCTGGAAATCAAATCAAGGCACCCAGCAATGTTTTCACCTGAAAAATTGTTGCACATGTTTATACACATACTCCTGGCTGACTCTAATGCTATGTGCTCGTAAAGAGGAGAAGCAAAGAGCCCAGCAAAAACTAAAATCCAAGGCAGACAAAAACCATCACAACTTTGAATGGGTTTTCTATCCACCCACAATTTCAACAGCAGAGAACTAAAGATTTACTGATGCTTAACCACAACCTGTGTCCAATAACTTTCTGACTTCAAAGCTAAGCAGATGTAGAGGTGACCCTTAGCAACCAGCCTTAAAAATAAATACAAGAAAAAAGAAAGAGCAGAAACCTTGGTGGCCTCACGCTATAGGGAAGACAGATATCACAGATTTAGTCCAGATAAGTTACTCAATAATAAAGCAAACAAACAGGAAAAACAACCTTGGATGAGGGAGGGATCCCAATCCAGAGTTGCTTCAATATATTCTCAAAAAATTCCAGTTTTCAATAGCAACAACAAAATAAAAGAAACAAGAAAGTGTGACCCATTCTCAGGGGAAAAAAGCAGCCAATAGAAACTATCTCTAAGTGACTCTAGATGTTAAATTTAGCAGATAAGGACTTTAAGGAAGCTATTATAAAAATGTTCAAGCAATTAAAAGAAACTATGTTTAAATAATTAAATAAAAGTAGGACAAAATGATTCAACAAATGGAAAACATCCTCAAGGAGATAGAAAATTGAAAAGTACAATAAATGATATAAAACATTTACTAGAGGGGCTCAACAACAGATTCAAGATGGCAAAAGAATCAATGAACTGGAAGACAGATCAACAGAATTATCCTGTCTGAAAAAGAGGAGGAGGGAAAGATTGAAGAAAATAAACAGAACCTCAGAGGCCTATGGATCAACACCAAGTGTATTAACATATGCATAGTAGTAGTCCACCAAAGGAGAAAAGACAGAAAAGAGGACAGGAAAAAAACAAAACAGAACAAAAATAAAACAAAACAACAAAAAACAAAAAACAAACAAACAAACAAAAACCTGTTCTTAAGAAATAATGGCCTTAAGTTTTTCAAATTTGATGAAAAATATTCATCTACACATCAAAGAAGCATAATGAACCACAAGTAGAATAAATACAAAGAATCCATACACAGACACATTGTTGTCAAATTGTTAGGGAAAAAAAGGCAAAGATGAAACGTTAAAAACAAGAGAAAAATGACTCATCACATACAGGGGAGCATCAACATGATTAACAGTTGACTTCCCATCTGAATATTGGGAGATGAGAAGACAGTGGGAAGACAAACTCAAAGTGTTGGGGTGAGGGGGTGGGAAATGCCAGCTGAGAATACCCTATCCAGCAAACTATCCCTTTAAAAAAAGGAAGGGAAAGTAAAGATGTTCTAGATAAACAAAGACTGAGTTTGTTGCTAGAAGACCTGTCTATCATTTGCTAGAATCTTCAGGACAATACTTAATAATGGTGGTGAGAGCAGACATTCTCACCTTGTTCACAATCTTATGAAGAAGGCATTCAGCATCCCTTCCATTAACCATGATCTTACCTGTGGGTTTTTCTTAGATAACCTTTAACAGGATGAGGAAGTTCCTATCTGTTTCTAGTTGGAAGTTTTTAATTGATAAGTACTAGATTTTGTTAAATGCCTTTCTGCACCTTTTGAGATGATCATATGGTTTTTGTCCTTTATTCTATTAATATGTTGTATTACACTCATTTATTTTTTAGTATTAAACCAACCTTGCAATCACAGGATAAATTCCATTTGGCCATGGTGTATAATTCTCTTTATATGTTGTTGATGTCAGTTTGCTAAAATTTTTTAAAGAATTTTTGTGTCTACATTCATGAGGAATATTGGTCTGTAGTTTTCTTGTGATGTATGTATCTGGCTTTAGCATCAAGATAATGTTTGCCTCATAGGATGAATTTGGAAGTATTCTTCTGTTTCCTGAAAGATTTTGTAAAGGATTCTCATTATTACTATTATTACAGTATTTGATGGAATTTAGAAATGAAACCATCTGAGCCTGGGTTTTTCTTTGAGGGAAGATTTTTAATTGCTAATTCCATTTCTTTACATTTTGTAGGTCTGTTCAAATTTTTAATTTATTCTTAAGTCAGTTTGGGTAAATTTTGTCTTTCTAGGAAGTTGTCAGTTTTATCTAAGTTGTCTAATATTTTGCCATTAGATTGTTTATAATCCTCCTTTACAATCCTTTTAATTTTTGTAAGGTCACAGTGATGTCCTATCTTTCATTCCTGATTTTGGTAATTTGTGCTCTCTTCATCAGGCTAGATAAAGTTTTCTCAATTTTATTAATCTTTTTCAAGGAACCAACTTCTGGCTTAATGTATTTTATATTATTTTTCTGTTTTTTTTTTCTTCCATGAATTTCTGCTCCAATCCTTATTATTCCCTTCTTTCTGCTGGCTTTAGGTTTTGTTTCCTCTTCCTTTTCTAGCTTCTTAAGGTGGAAGCTTATGTTATTGGTTTGAGACCTTTCTTTTCTCTTGACATAAGTGATTAAATCTCTAAATTTCCTTTTCAATACTTCTTTAGCTGTATACCATAAATTTTGGTAGGGTTTATCTCCATTTTTATTCATTTCAAAATATTTTACAATCCATCTTGTGATTTATTCTTTGACCTATGGATTATTTAGAAGTATACTGTTTATTTCCAAATATTTGTAAGAATTTGCAAAATTTCTTTTATTGATTGTATCAAATTTAATTCCATCGGAGAATATACTTTGCCTTCTATCATTTCTTTAAAACTTATTTAGATTTCTTTTAAGTCTATCGTCTACCCTGAGGAGAGTTCCATATGCTCTTGTGAAGATGTATTCTTTAGTCAGTGGATGAGATGTTCTATAGATGTCCATTAGGTCAAGGTGGTTGACAGTGTTGTTGAAGTCTTCTATATCAGGGGGAACAGATGGAGATGGGGAGAGAGGAGACGGGAAAAGACAAATGAACACGTGTGATCATTGTCTCTTAGATCCCTTTAACTGAAATGGACAGTTCCTTTATTTATGGAATACAGACAAGACACCAATGATTGGATTTACCTTCTGAATCTTTGTTGTAGAAAACGCCGTGCGGATGCAAAGAGTATGGTCGGGAAGCAAAGTTCTTTAAATGAATGACAATCACATCACCCACTTCAGCCCTCAAGATAGGGCCCAGGAATCCAAGCCAGGGAGGTTTCGGGATCTCCGTGGAATAGGTCTCATCTGTGTAATGTCTATAGACAGCCTTTTTGTAAAGACTACCTATCCTGTTGGGCCCTCTTTCGAGAAATAAGGTTGCAAGTCTAAAAATAAGAAAGAAAATATTTTATAATTAACATTAAAAGAGAAATCCTAATAGCTTATTTTAACAGTTCATAAAGTACTTGAGTGTATGATTTCTTATATGGTGTTGGACACAACCCTCTAAACTCTGTAGAGATGGTGAGATTATCTTTCAGTTACTTTTGAGGAAACTGAGGCTAAGAGAGTAAGTGACAAGCCAAAAGACACAAATAATATTCACAACCAAACTAAACCAAAATGCTCTAAAATCGGGCTGTCCATTTGCCCCTTTGGGTTCAACACGTTCCCCTTCAATTTTCTTTTAACAAACACTAAGTAGGTATTGACCATGTTCCCAGCACCTTGCTGTGTGCTATGGAGGGATACAAAAGAGTGTATGACCTAATGGAAAAATTGGGTAGCGACATACAGCAGTATGTGATTAAGTACCAATTGAGTTGATGGAGTCACACCAGGTCTGAGAGTCTCAGTATTGACTAATGGATTTGTTTGCTTCATTAAGTTTGGGGAAAGCACTATAGATCAAAAAGCCAAAGACACAAGATATTTTCAGGGTTCCGTCCTCATTTCCTCAAAGAGATTACCCAGTGTTTGTAACCAGTGACTCAGATACGAAGCTCCCAAGCAGCTCCTACCACAAAGCTGTCCAGCAGTCTCAGGTATGAATGGTAGCTTTGCCCACCCCGCAGGCTCTTCAGGATGATGGAGCCAGCTGTCAGCGTGTCAAGCAGCCAGGCATCCAGCCCACCATGGAGCAGCAGATAGGGGTGTAGGTAGATGGAGGAGAGGGTGTCTGGGTCAAGCAGGGGACAGGGATCCAGTGGCTCAAGTCAAAGCAGGAGCAGTGTTCTTTGGTACATCCAGCCCAGCTTTCTTCCCTGGCCTCATTTCCTCATTTCCTCATTGCCTACCTCCCCTGACCTCACACTTCTGCCAGGCCTCACGTTCAGCCTCCTCAAAATGCACTGTATCCTTTCCAGCATTCCAAGACTTGCACACATTCTTTCCCCGCGTCTGGATGTTATTCCCTACTCTCTACCTGTCAAGCACCCTTCCAAATCAATTGAAACTCTTCCTCCTTTCCCCTTCTGGACATGCACAGTGCTCTGTTCATGCACGAATCACACACTTGCCAAAAACGTGTCACAGTAAGATACGTACATCTCTGGTTTGTGAGCTAATTGAAGACAAAAATCCATCAAATACCTTTTTTTATTGTAATGCTTAGTAATTGCCTAAGAAGCGTTGGTGCTTAGTGGCTTTGGAATAAAGAAAAAGAAAAGCCTTGAATTTGCCCCCAGATTGGCAGATTAAAACTGGGATAATTTTGCAAACTACGTTTGCAGAAAAGGGTATGTGGCCACACTTGACTTTGAGTATTCTCCAGGCCAGGGATGGCAGATAGGTTTTAACTTGTGCACCAAATCTGATTGATTGGTAGTGACTGCTTAGGGGAAAAAGTCAAGGTTGAGTTCAAGCAGGCGGAAGAATGAACCCCTCAGGATGTGTACTGTGGATGTGGGGTTGGAGGCATGCTTGGTTGCTCTCTTTGCTCTACACAGACTGCCAGGTAACAGGATACTTTGGGGTCTTCGGGTGTGGCCTTCTCTACAACTGGATGACAGAATTCTATCACTACTGGCAGAACATACACCGAGTTGTTCTCTCGTAGTAGCAATAGTGAGGGAATTAGCTCCTCATTGCTTGTTTCTCAGGTCCCTTTGCAGCCAAAATACAGAATACATTCTATCCAATAATGGCTGGGTCCAGGGCAGAGTTTGTGGACACCAGAAGATATCCAGTGAATATCCCTGAAATCCAACCTGTGACCTTATGAGATTTGGTTTGCTGACCTGTCCTCCAAAGACTGTTTTCTTTCTCCTAAGGACCTACTGACAAACAGCCATCTTGCTTTTTTGTAATGTATAAGCAGACCCTTACAGCACAACAAAATTTAAAACAAAAGCATTTAAACAGAACATAGCATGGTTTTCCAGTCAGATTAAAAGCAATTTCTTGGGGCGTCTGGGTGGCTCAGTCAGTTGAGCACCTGAACCTTGATTTCAGTTCAGATCATGATCTTAGGGTCATGGGATTGAGCCCCATGGGATTCTCTCTCTCTCTCTCTCTCTCTCTCTCTCTCTCTCTCTCTCTCTGCCCATCTCCTCCCCCGCCCCCACCCCACCGACTCAAATAAGTAAATAAATAAATAAATAAATAGCATTTTCTTCACAGCGTCATTACTTCCTTGTTCTAACCAGCTAGGACACCCAGCTTACTCCAGATCACAGACCATGGTCACACCTGTCAGCAATAAAGCCCTCCTTTTTGTTTTTTTAATAAAATTTTTAAAAATCTTTACTTTTGAGAGAGAGAGAGAGACAGAGACAGAGTGTGAGCAGGGGAAGGACAGAGAATGAGGGAGGCGTAGAATCTGAAGCAGGCTCCAGGCTCTGAGCTGTCAGCATAGAGTCTGGCAAGGGGCTTGAACTCACGAAACATGAGTTCATGACCTGAGCTGAAGTCAGACGATTAACCGACTAAACCACCCAGGCACCCCAATATAGCCCCTTTTAAAGAGACTGGTCTTGGCCTTGGAAGAAGGGAACTTCCCAGAGTTCTCAGCCAAGCCAAATTAAGGGGTGGAGCAGCCAGACCTCAGCTCCAAAGGGCATTGCCACATCACTGTAGAGCTGAAGGCATTGCCAGAGGGATAAAATTAACTGGAAATGACATTGGAAGTGGAGAGAATTGCAACTTCTAGAACTTCTCTGGGTGGTGAGTACTGTATATGGTCAGAAAGAATCAGCTGCTTCAGATGGGGTTTGTGAGGTGGAAGGAAGGAGCCCCCCGGGGATGTGTGCACGTAGTAGCGGGTGGTCACCGAAATCCCTTCCGAGAAGGATTGTTCCAGTGACCTGGAGAGTGGGTTCCTTCTTCTGGTGACCAAGGGGATGGTATGAACTGCCACCACCAGGCCACCTTCCTCTCTCCTTGGCACTCAGCCTTGCCTCCAAATAAGAGTTGAGCAAGTATCTGTTGAAGGAGACCCAATATTATTTATTTTCCCAGAGCACCAGATTATTAGCCTGGCCAGGCACCCACAAGTGTCAACCCTGCCCTGCCCTTAGTGTGGAGTCAGTAGGTGGGACGTCCCTAGGACAGAGGGGAAACCCATGGATTTAGGCTCCCCTTTGAGGAGCCAGGGACCAGGGGACTAGTCTTCCCAGAGACAGCAAAGGCTCTTTGTCCCCAACTTGCCAGGTTCAGCACCTAAATAATGGGACTAACAAGGTAGGAATCCTGACAAAAGGATTGGAGTATTACCACAGTGATTTTGGTAGCAAAAGCCTGGAAAGACCAAAATGTTCTTCAAATGGTGATTGGAGAAATAAACTATGGCATATTCAGACCACATGGCCAGACAGCAGAATGAGGAGGTTCTACAGGGGGCAATATGGCACAGTCTCCAAGATACCACATGAAAAAAGCAAATTGCAGATCAGCATGTAAAGTATGATCCCATTTCTGTGTTTTTTTTTTAACAATATACACATTTACACATATGCACAGAAAACATTTGGAAAGTGGCCACGGAAACCATAAAAGTGTAACCGCTGGGCCACGGGCTGAGGCCACAGGCAGGAGTGGGAAGGAATGAGTTTACTCACCCTCTTCGGTACTTGGGCGTGTTTGACTCTATACCTTTTATTTACTTTCATAATAAAAACAAGCTCACATCGGAGCGCCTGGGTGGCTCAGTCGGTTGAGCGTCCGACTTCGGCTCAGGTCATGATCTCACAGTTCGTGGGTTCGAGCCCCACGTCGCGCTCTGTGCTGACAGCTCAGAGCCTGGAGCCTGTTTCAGATTCTGTGTCTCCCTCTCTCTCTGCCCCTCCCCTGTTCGCGCTCTGTCTCTGTCTCAAGAATAAACATACATTAGAAAAATTAAAAAAAAAAAAAAACTTTAATGAAAAAAACAAGCTCACATCTTATTTAGAAGAGAGCGTCCAGGCTGTTAGGCAACTGAGGGGCCAAACTTCTCTTCTCATGTGGCTTCTCCCTCTGAAAACATAGCTGCCACCACAAGGGGTGTTGTTCGAGTGAGTTCTCCACGGAGGGGAGGACTGGCAGGGACTGGCGGGGGGACTGGCGCCCTGAGCAGGGAGCACAGCTCCTGCAGCCTGAGTTGGAGGGAAGGCAGTCACTGCCCAACCTCTCTGGCTTGACAAGTCCTCGCTCAGGCATCGAGACCGAGAACTTGGGCACAGACCCCGTGTGTAAACACTCGGTCTTCTGTGTATCTACCGAGCCTGTGTGTGTCTGCCCCTAAACAGGCGTTCAACCCTCTTCTGTTCCATGAGGCAGAAGCCTATTTCCCTGTGCAGGGGAATAGGATAAAAAGTCTGGGCGCCTGACACTGGGGCTTTGGGGATAGGAGCCCTTAGATTTCCCAGCCTCACTTGCAGCTTGGATGGTCATGTGACACAGTTCTAGCCAATGAGATGTACGCATGTGTCATTCTATGAGACTTCTTCTGGACTCCTCTGGCGCAGACCCTCGCCGTTGTTTGCCCTTCCCCTTTTTCATGCCTGAAATAAAGATACGATGACGAGCTTCGGCAGCCATCTTGACAGAATGGGGAAGAAGGTCACGCCCTCCAGAAGGGCAAGTGAAAAGCCAAAGGCATCTGGGACCCTGAAGATTGCCAACCTCTGGCTTTCTCTTGAGTAAACCAAAAAATACATTTGAGCGTTTTTCGGGCTTCTGTTAACCAGCAGCTGAATACAAGTCCTAATTGAATAGGCTGTTCAGAAGGAGGAGGAGGAGGAGGAGGAGGAGGAGGAGGAGGAGGAAGAAGCAGGGGAGAACTGAGTCATCCTCAGGCTGGCTAATTGGCCCCAGAGTAGGAGAGTTACCTGGCTTTATAGCTGACACTGGACCACCCAGGAAGGCAACGACAGAGGAAGGATTAGATATGGAATCACTGGCGTCCTCT